TCTAATGGGCGGCGAACCCCCGACGCCCTCGACAGGCGCCCAGGGCGCCACCAGAGAGAGAGGCAACACTTTCCCCTTGCCAGTGGTGACAGAAGGCCTTCCACATGCCCACGAGGAAGGAGCCGCCCAAGACGGCTCGACTTGCCCCGCGCGAGGATGCGTCGCCGATGTCTTCTTTTCCTTCAATTTGCCTGATCTTGCGGCTTTCGGCTGCGCTTCCCCCTCTCCTCCTCCTCCTCCTCCTCCTCCTACAGCGCGGGGCGCTCTCGCAGCAGGACATGGGCACAACCCACATCTTGGCGCTGGCGAAGCCGACGCCGAAGCCGACGACGACGCCGACGCCGGCGCCGACGCCGACGACGCCGACGTCGACGACGTAGACGCCGACAACGACGCGGTTGCGCCATGTTCCCCCCGCACCGTGCAAGGAGAGCATCCCCAGGCTGAGGCAGAGGCAGACGACTCGGGCCACTGTGCGCGGGCGCCCAGTACTGCGCAGGGCACTCTTACTGCAGGACATGGGCACAACTCCCATCCTGGCACTGGCCTCCCAATAGTGAGCAGTTCCCCCCCCGCGCCGCGCCAGCCCGGCGGCCAACTTTGAGGCCTGCATTTCCCCGCAAAGTCCTGCCGGGCGTGCAGATGGAGCTGTCGCGAGCAGATCGCGAGTCCCCCAGCCAGGGCAGCGAGGCCCTTGCGGTGGAAGCTTGCGGCCAGGACGCACGGCCACACCAGAAGCCCGACCCGCGGCAGTGGCCAGAGCCCAGAGACCCCCACACGGGGCAGCAGCTGTACAAAACAGGAATCAACAACATCCATTGGGACCTCCCCGGGGAGACGCCCGGCGAAGCGATGCGACGACTCCAAGTCACACTAGGATCGGTGTTCACTGGCACCTGGCACGCCTTCGCCAAGCGGCAGTCTGCGCCCTGCAGCAAGGGCGCGCTCGATCCGCTTCGGCACGACCCGCAAACCTGCCACCTCTTCCAGGAGTCCTTCCGCAGTCACAAGTGCGACGTACGTGTCCTCAGCGACGCGCTGGGCCTCAACGTCGACTGGACCCGGTAGCGGCAGCTGCGCCTGGGTCGGCGGCGCCCGGCTCACGCGGCACTGCCCAGAGGAAGAGCGCGGGGGGTCACGGCGGAAGCGACGGGGGCACCCCCTCGGGGCGATCCGTCCGTCAGCCGTCCTCTGACTGAGCCACGCTTGCAGCAGGGGGACCGCGGGGCAGCCATCCAGACACAGGACAACGCAGCCATTCGCCGGCCCTTTTCTCAGACCCGTACAGGAGAACAGCCACTGGTGTCGCTGCTGTCCTGCGCAAGTGGCACATCCTTTGGCAGGTCCTTCCTTCCCACGGCGGGCCTGGCCCACTGCTGTGAAGGTTGTTCCCCTAGCTCCTGCGACGGAGTACATCCGGCGACTGGTAGCCTTGCTCTAGTGGCGTTTCCCTCCCACCAGGCAGGCGCCTTCCCTCTGACTACATTCCGACTACGCAATGTTGGGTCCTCGACTGCCTGCGTCGCCGCCTGGCTCTCCTCCTCCTCTTTTGTTTTCTATTGATTTGCGGCTATCGGCTGCGCCCCCCCTCTTCCTTCACGACGACTGCAGCGGCGGGCCCTTCGGCCGCCGCCTGCAGGTGGACCTAGGCAAGGCACGCCCCTGCACAAGCAGTTCATCCTTTGGCAGGCTCTGCCTTCTCACGACGGGCCCGTCCCGCTGCGCGACGCCGGCGACCTTCCCCCCTGACCCGCCCCGGGCAACGCTCTGTTGGGTCCTCGGCTGTCTGTGTCGCCTGGCCCACACGTGCCTCTCCTTCCTGTATTCTCCAGATTTGCGGCGATCGGCTGCGCCCCCCCCCCCTCCTCCCCGCGCGCCGTGGTGCTGTTCACGCCTGTCGGCTCCCCCCCAACCGTGCCGCGTCTTCGCGCCTGCCCCGAGGTCGTCACTCCTTCCACGCGGCAGGGCGCGCCCGATGGGGCACTGGCAGGTGGGCCGTGGAGGCTGGCTTCCAGTGCAAGTGGTGCATCCTTTGGCAGGGCCGTGTTTCCTCTTGGCAGGCGTTCTGCGGCTCCCGGCTATGCCGGCGACGTCGACCCCTTCTTCTGGTAGGATTTGTCGCTCGCGGACGCCAACGACGCCCTGCCTTTCTGCGGCGTCAGGTGGTGCGCACCTGCCCGCAGTCACCCCCAGGCGGGGCCTGAACGCCGGCGGGTAGTGCCGCCGTGGCCCCACGCGACGCCCCCCCCGTCCACGGTCGCATGCACTCGGGACTCACGACGAGACTACCGACGCCTTGTTCAGTGACGACCTGCTTTCGTGCACATGAGGTGCTCTGTGAGTGAGGCTCCCTTTGCCCCCCTGTCCCTCCCCCGCCTTCCCCCCCTTCTTTTCGTTCTCTCCCCCCTCCCCTCGTCGTGTTGAGCTGGCGCCGTTTCGGCGACTCCTCGCACTCTTCCCGCGCCCGTTCCCACCAGTCGACGCTAAGATGCGTCTCCTTGAATTTAGTTCAGTTTGTTTTGTGCACGTGCAACTGCGAGCATGCTTGCAGGCGCGGTCGGCTGTCGACAGCGACGGCTGGATTCGCAAATTGTCTCGCTCTGTGCCCCAGACGACCCGATTGACCCGCCCTCTGAAGCCGGCCTTTTTGGGCCGCAGATCAAAAAGACATCCCCGCCATCTCACGCCGTTCGGCTCGCGGCATCGGATTGACGGCGACTTGCAGGCTGCACGCGGTTGCACGTTGCTGGGCGCGCATTTCGAGGACGACGGATTCCCGGCGCGCCTGGGTTTGGTCGGTCGCTTCTGAGTTGCGCTGCGTTAGTCGCCCGCCTTCTTCTCGCCCGTCCGTCGCCCGCGTTCTTTTTCTTCCTGCTCTGCCCTCTCCACGCTTACCAGCTGTTGTTGAGGCTCTCGCCCTACACGCAGGCCTGGCTGCATTCGATTGTTGACGCCGCGCGGCTGTCCGCTAGCGGCTGGTAAACAAAAAAGTATTCCCACCAGCCCACCCAGAAACGATCAGCAGGGGAGTTGGTGCGTCAGGGGCGGCAGGACGCATGTAGCCGCGCAGCCGTCTTCGGGAAAACAAGGATCACGCGGAGCTTCCCGCGTTGAAGTTCCAGATGGAAAACTGCACAAGCTACGATGGTGCTTCGATGAGGGGCGAAGGGCTTTTCGACGACTAGTAATGGCTGTTGCGCTGATTTCTACATTAAACTCGCGTGCGTTTCGAAACTTGGGGTCATCGTGGAGCTCTCTTGGGGTTCTCGTGGGGCCCTCTTGGGGCCTTCCTGGAGCTCTTTCTTGGGGCTTTCTTGAGGTCCTTTCAGGGCCTGTTCGGAACCCTCTTGGGGCTCTTTGGGGGCGCCTTGGGGCTCTTTGGGGGGGTCGGGGTGCCTTCTTGGGGCTCGTTTTGGATGCCTGAGGGGCCTCTTGGGGCCGTCTTGGACCCTGTCGCCAAAGCAGACGGGGCCCTTGATTCGGACCCCCCCCCATCGGAGGCTCAAAAGTGCCGTCATGGGGCCCTCTTGGCCCGCTTTTCGGGCGCTGTTCGGCGCTCTTGGGGCCTTTTGGGGGCCCGCTATGTTGGACCGTCTTGGGGCCATCTTGAGGCCTCAAGAGCCCATGAGAGGCGCAAGAAGGACAAGGCGAACAACGCTGGTGGTTTTCTTATATTTTTGCAGAAGTTTGGGCCTCTTTGGGGGTCTTCGGAGACGTCGGACAGCACTTGAAACCGTTTTGGGGCCGGCTTGAGGCCTCTTGGACGTGTCGAAGGCTATCTTGACCCATCTACCGATATCTTGGGTCATCTTGGAGGCCATCTTGCACTTTCTGAAGCCTTCTTGGAACCACCTTGGGCCGAAACGGGCCCTCTGACACCTCGCGGGGGGGTCCGTCCAAACGCAGGGATGGGGGGGAGGTAAGACTCTCGAGCAGGGAAAGGAAGGAGGTTGGAAAAGGAAGCGTTTTAGACCACCTGCGCCCAGAGGGCTGGTGGGATTTCGGCGCGATGTGGGTCCCGTTCTTCTCCGTCCCGCCGTCGCCGATGCATCGTCGACACGTCGGCAATTCGGCGCGGTCCTCCGACCCGATCTATTCCGGCGCCTTGTTGGGGGTATCGGCACTTTGCTTGGGGGCCTTGGACAATCCTATTTCCAGGAAGCTTTCTGGGAGCCCCGGGCACGTGGGCAGTCCAAAGTGGCTGTTCCATACCGTTCTCCATCATCCATCTTCCTCATGTGCCATCGCCCCCTTTGGTGCTTCTCTCCTATGGGACGTGGGCGGAAGAAATGGGCCATCTCACGCAGCCCCAGCCTTGTCGTCCCATGTTTTGCGCCGCGATGCGTTGCCAAAAGCGTGCGGTGGCGTGTTGCCTCTGAGGGCTTTGTGAGAGTGGACGTGCAGGTTGAGGAAGGCGCGGCGGACCCCAGGAAACGAAGCAGATAGAGCAGCAGGAGGGAAATGAGGAGGAAGTGGAGGAGGAGGAGGAGGAGGAGGAGGAAGAGGACGAGAAGGAGGGGTCTAGGATATAAAGGAATGTGAGGAGGAGAAGGAGGAGGAGGCAGAGGAGAGGGGGGGGAAGGAGAAGGGGAGTAAAAGGACGACGAAGGGCAGGACGAGGGGTGGGAGGTCTAGAGGAGGCGGGGGAAGGAGGACGACGAGGAAAATGAGGAGCAGGATGCATGAGGAGGATGGAGGATCGACGGAAGCCAGAAGCGGGGCGCCACTAGCGTTTAACCGACCCCCATCCCCATCCCCACCCCTTTTCAGGCCCCCACCATCTCACCCCGCTAACTGGGGACCCCTCGAAACCCAATGAACACCGCCTGTATCCCCATCAGGGGGGGTAAATTGGCCAGTGGGGCACAGGCCACGCCGTTGGGGATAGGAGTCGGATAAGCGATGCTCAGGATGGCCCAGCGCCGCCGCGCCGGGCGACACCCGCCTTGGCGAAACGCCGCCGCGAAAGTTCGACGCCGATGCCCCGGCACGCCGCCGAGGCCGCGCAGTGCTTGAAGCACGCCGGCGTGGCCGCGCTGCTGGTTGGGCGGGTGGGGCTGACACGAAGGAGGGGGGTCCTGAGTCTCCTGCTAACATAGGTCATGGTAATTAATGAGCGCCAAATTCATTAGAACAAGATATTGAAAAACGATCTGGGGCCGATATTCTAACTCACATATCATATCATTACCAGGACCTGAGTGGCTCGATCACTGAGGGAGGAGCCAGGAGGGAGGAGGGAAAAGGGAGGAGGGAGGAGGGAGGGCGGGAGGATCGGATCGACTCGGCAGGAGGAAGCGTCAAGCCCCGCAGCGCCGACGCGGGCCCCCGCCCTTGCGAGGGGACCACAAATGTGGACCCTGAGGCTCCAAAACATGGGTGGCAGTATTTATCGAATGGCCGTCGGCCCATCCCGCCACCCTGCTTGGGTTGTGGGTCAGGGTCCTCAGTGATGCTTCTTGGGGTCTCTTCGGGGCGCTCTCGGGGGCCTCCGGGGGTTAGTTTTGGGGCTTCTGGGGAACCTCGAGAGGGCCTCTTGGAAGCGTCTTGGGGCCTCTTGGGGCTTCCTGGGGGCCCCTTTAGGCTTCTTGGGGCCTCTTGGGGGCTTCTTGGGAGGCTCTTGGGGCCTCCTGGGGGCCTCTCGTCGGGCCGAAGGCTCGAAATGTCCGTTCGGGTCCCCCGTCTGGGCCCCTTCTTGGAGTCTTGCGGACCTCGCGGGCCGTCTTGGAGGCCTCTTGGGCCGTCTTGAGGCCCTCTTGGGCTGTACTGAGCCCTTTCGAAGGACTCTTCGGCCGTCTTAGGGGCGATACTGGGGGCATCTGCGGCCCTCTTGGAGCATCGAGAAGCCGAAATGGCGAGAGCGCCAAAACCATAAACCTTAGGACATCTGTGATGTTTACCTCTTCGAGCCCTCTTGGGAGTGCTCTTGGAGGCCTGTTGGGGCGTCTTCGAGACCTCTTGGCGTCTGGAGGCCATCGTAGGCGTCTTGGAGCGATCTGTCAGCGATTCTGGACCGTCTGGGCGGCCTCCCGGGGCTTTCTTGGCCCGTTCTGGGGCCCTCCTGAGCGAGGGGACCGTCCAGGAGGCCCACGCGAGAAACCTTGGGAATTCCCGGTGCCGCCCGAGAGCGCCCTGGAAATTGGGGGTCTAGGCCCTTGAGACGAACTTTTTTCTCTCTCAGGACTGCATGAGCCTTGGGGCACTCCTACTTCGTGCGGATATCCCGCCTTGCCCAGCGGACGAAAACCGCCCAGGCCCAAACCATGCACGGAGGGGAGGAGGGAGCAGGGAAGGGGGAGGGAACGGTTGACTAGGCGGGGATGCTATCTCCTCACCCCTCGCCCTCCTCATCCTTCCCTGGCCCTCCTCCTCCTCCTCCCTGGGCTTCGGTGGTTCCGTGGAGTCGCAGGAGCCCCAGGAGCTCACAGGAGGCCCCGGGAGGCCTCAAGAGGCCCCTGGAGGTCCAGGAGGTGCCAGGGGGAAGCCCCAAGATGCCTCAGAATTTCGGGGGATCCTGGAGATCTTGGTATCCGGGGCCCATGGGCTTGCAATTTTATCCAGATTTGAGGTTTGATATTGCTAAGAGGTTCAAGAGTTTTGACACTTCTGGAATCCCCGATTTCCATATTTAAGTGTGATCCTGAAGCATCCTGGGCCTCCGGGGGCCTGGGACCTACTGGAGCCTCCTAGAGTCATCTGACACCTCCTGGGGCTTCTAGGGCCTCCTAGAACCTCCCGGGGCCTCCTGGAACCTCCTGGGGCCGCCTCGGGGACGTGCTTGTTTTATTAATTGTCTTTGTTTTTTGCAGGGAAGCGACGCCTGCGCAGCTCTCCGAGATGTGAAATTGTTTGGCCTTCCATCGAGAAGGGTCCAGGGGCCCGTTTTGAGCAGATTTCGGGTCAGGCGGCACCCGTTGTAAACCTTCTGTTCGGAAGCCCTAGCTGAGCCACTCGGGGGCACTCCATCATCGCTGTCACCATCATACTCGCCATTGTCGTAATCGTCGTCGTCGTCAGCATCGGCATCGTCAGTATCAGCATCATCATCATCATCATCATCATCATCATCATCAGCAGCAGCATCATCATCCTCATACTCATCCTCAGCATCACCACCAGCACCAACAACATAACAATCATCACTATCACCATCATCATCATCATCATCATCATCATCATCATCATCATCATCATCATCATCATCATTATCATTATCATCATCATCATCATCATCATCATCATTATCATCATCATCATCATCATCATCATCGTGATCACCGTCATGATAGTCATCATCGTCAACATCAGCATCAACATAATCATCATAATCACCGACAGTAGCAGCACGAGCATCATCGTTAGCATGGCCATCATAGCGTTACCACCACCGCCACACACGTATCTATACGTGTGTGTATATACGTATAGACCATAGACATACCTACATAATTGTTTGGTACCCACGTATCCCTACATATGATTATGAACCCATGCATACACGCATGTTTTCGCAGTCATGCGATGCCCACATTCCTATGCGCATAAGCATCTATTATACACATAGGTAGATCGATCGATGGGTAGGTATGTATACATGTGTATATATATATACACATGTATATGTATGTATATAAATACATATGTGTGGATCGATGTATCTGTATACGTGTGTATACATATATAATGCGACATACGTGCATGTACATATATATACATATAACTATATATGTGTGTATATAGATATACCTATATATTGACATGTGTGCATCGACACACATAACTGAATACATACGCATACAAGTAGACGATGCAGATGTGTCTATATACATATACGTGTATATATATATACATGTATAGCTACACACCTGTATATATATATATATATAAATACATAGATTTATATATGTATCCGATATCGGAGTAGGCCTCGGGCGGGCCCTGGACAGAGACCCGGGCTACACATGGGTGCCGCAGGGGCTCCAGGGGCGCCCTCGTGGTTCCCAAAGTGGTTTCGTTGTCATACAGAGGACCCACACATTGGTACGGCAGTCTACCAGACTGGGTCTAACACACCCCGAGTACCGAACATGTTTTCTGAACGGCCTCGGGCTGCGCCAGAACGGCCCAGGGCAAGCTTCAGTGGGCGCTCGAGGCCCAAGACGAGTACCCCGAGAGACACAATCATGCGTCTCGCTCGGGTTTTTCAATGTTTTCAGTGCCCTCTCTTTGTACACATTCTGACGCTCCACGACAGTCCACGAGGCCTCCGACACCGCCTCAGGACTGGCCCAGCGGTCCTCAGGAGGGCCCCAGGACGGCATACCAGGGCTGCATGACGTCCCCAGGGGCCGCCCAAGACGGCCCACGAGGCCCTCAGGTCGGCCCAAACATGGCCTGCCGAGTGGGTGCATAAACCGAAAATTCGAATCTGCCGCCCTATGAAGCTCCCCGGGGGACTCAAGAAGGCGCCAGGACGGCCCTGGGCAGGCTCCAGAGGGCGCCCGAGGCCCCAGACTAGTGCCCCGAGAAGCAAAAATCATTGATCGCGCTAGGATTGTTCAATGTTTTCTGTGCCCTCTCTTCGTCCATACTCTGACTCTCCACGACGGCCGCAAGGCCTCCGACACCGCCTCAGGGCCGGCCCAGATGCCCCCAGGAAGGCACTGGGACAGCCTAGCAGGGATGCATGACGCCCCCAGGAGCCCCGAGGCCCTCGAGACGGCCAACCAATGGCCTGCAGAGGGGGTGCATGAACCGAGGCTCCCCGGAGGCCTCGTGCAGATCGCACGCGTTCAGTCACAACGACCTTGAATGATCAAAACCGTGGGCAACTAACGAAAAGCAGCAATTCCTTAGGTTTGCAGGCGTTTTCGTAGGTTCCCAAGGTTCTTCCAGCCTCGATACTTTGTCTCCAGCAGCCGCGCCTCGCCGAGAGCGTTTCGGGGGTGTTCGAATCTTCCCGCATGGCCGCCAGAGACTCGAGCTATGGCCCGAAACCCAGACCCTTCCCACCAAGCAGATGGGTCCTTGAGGAAGGGTAATTAGGATGCGTCGGAGGGAGAAAAATCGTCACCACCTCGGACAAGAGGAACCGACGTTGAACATGATCATCATCTTTTCGAAGTCTGCGCGGATATCTTGGATTTGCGCTGGATCCCAATTCATCAGGGAGACGAGGAGGAAGCAAACGGAGGGGCGTCTGCTCTGATTGATACTTGCTTTGTATTTCCATTGCGTTGTATCCTGGCGCTGAGCTCTGCATAGTGTTGCACGGAGTGAAAAAGAAGCTCTCCGAGGGGGAGGGGCGCAGGGCCGAAGCCTCTCGCCTGTTCAGGTCCCTCGGGTTGTGTTCTGAGCCTTTTTTCACCAATTGCCCATCGCATACTAAAATTCTAGACGCTTCGCGTAACCCCACCAGCTAAATGCTGAACGGCCTTCCGCCGTGACCCTGGATCGAAGTGGCTCTGAGGGATGCGTTTTGGGTATACGGCGGTCTCATCCCTCGGGTGCTATCCGACTCGGTTTGGGTAGCGCTGAGACACTTTTGATGTGCACGCGCCACGTGATCCACCGTGTATCGTGCACACGGCGCCCTCCCACTCGATGGTTCTGGGCTGACGCATCTCAGTTGTGGAAGGTTCTCCTGTCATCATGTTTCCACACCCTGGATGCGCGTTCTGGCGTCGCGACTTTGATTCGCCGTCAGGCTTTTCCGCTGGACTTATGTCTCCAGTCAGTCTGTGTTACCCGTCAGACTCCCTGGATCGATGTCCTCGGGAACGTTCCTTTCTGTTCGCACCGAACTGCTGGGAACGCCTCACGCGCCATTTTGGCTGCGCTTGGTCTCCTCGGTGCCTGTCTTCAGACTCCCTGGATGGACCGTTGCATGTCTCGTTCAGGGGCTGTTCTGCAGACTCCCTGGATTGCATGCTGGCTCTGCCGCTGGGCGCTGCCCCCCCCCCGCCGCCTGACCCGCGGCCCCCGCGCGCGCTCGGCAATTTAGTCGCGGCCGTAGCCCGCCCGCGACCTCCCGCCGCTGGCGCTTCCGCCTGCGGCTGTAAAAAAAAGTAACCCCACCAGCCCAACCAGAAACGATGCCCAGAGGAGTTGCCTCGATCAGGGAAGTGGGCAGCACGCAGAGGAAGGGTCCCACAGTTGAAGCCTCTTGGAGCGTCTTGGGGGCCTCCTGGCGATCCCGGAGGCCTCATGGAGCGTCTTGTGTGCCTCCAGGAGTTTCTTGGGGTCTCTTGGGGGTCTATTGGGAGCCTCTTCGGCGCCTCTTGGGGCCTCCTGGGGCCTCCTGGGCGCCTCTTGGGGCCCTCTTGAAGCGCTCTTGGGAGCCTTGGGGGCGCTCTTGGGGCCATCTTGGAGGACACCGATCAAACAAGAAGGGAGCGTTAATAGTGAGGCGCGCCCAAGAGACCAAAATGGGGCTCAAACCCAAGTAAAACCAACGATGTTGGTTTCCTCGCCGAGGCCGTTTTGGACGCCCTGACACCTCGCGACCGGCCCCGTCCAAGTCCAGGGGAGGGAGGGGGTAGGGGGAGGCGTCAAGCTACCCACCCGCCCGCATGCCATCCAACTCGCTCCCACCCGCCTTCCGTACACAAAAGTAACACCCGAGCCTGAGCATGTTCAGCGGTCGTCTGGGGATGGGCAGCTACTGGGAACCAAAGCCGACTCCAGGTGCGCGACGCTTGGGCGAGGTGCGCCACGCGTGCCAGGGGCGCCACGCGCGCCAAGCACCCCTGGGGCACAAGCGTGCCAGGCGCGCCTGGTGCGCCAGATGCGCCACGTCCAGCCGCGCCAGGTGCGCCGCGTTCGGGGCACGTGCAGAGTGCGTCAGGTGCGCCTGCGCGCGTGACAGCAGACATCGGGAAACATGTCGGCCCCCGTCATCCTTGGCGAACGCCGATGCCCATCATTGTGTTTGGTGGGACTGCGCACGGCGCACGGCAGGTCACTCGCCACCACCGCCGCCGTCCCTGTCAAAAACTCATCGACAGTGATCGCGGGATGGCCGCGCATGATCCAGATTTAGCCGCGAGGTGCATGTTCTGTTGTTTTTTTGTCAGTGATGGTAGCCCTGCGCGCAGCAGGGAATATGCTGAACCCCCTTGCCGTCCTTGTTCAAAACAATACAAAGTGCTCGCTGGCCTCACGAACATGAGTCGAGACTTTCTCCCAAAGTGTACTTTGTATTGCTTTTTGGCAGAGATGGTTCGGAGGGGGGGCCGCATCGGGTTGGCCGCACATGCTCAAACTGTGGAAGCAGAGTGCGGTTTGTATTGTTTTTTGATAGGGGTGGTGGGTGGCGGGCCGACATGGTACCCCGGTCGCCTGGGGGACGGGGTGTATATTAATAGGGAACAGTGATGAGCCCCTCCCCGAAGGGGAAGAGGGGCAGATGGAAGACAAAACACCCTAGACCACCTACGCCCTAAAGGACTGGCGGGATTCAGTCAAGAGCAAGATTCAGGCTCGGGGGCCACTGCCGCTTGCAGTCGTTGGGCTAAGATAGTAGTAGTTGGAGTCTGGGGGGAAGGCCGATCGCCGATTGCGTTCGGTCTACTCTTTGAGTCGACACGAGCCAAAAAATAAACTCAGCTGATCGCGTATACTTATCGTTTTTTTGTTGACTTGTTTATCGTGCACGCCCCTCATTGGTGACGTTGGCCAGCTGCTGCGGCCGACGAACATTGCCGTGGATCGGCGGCGAGTCCGTAGGAGAAGTGGGAAGGGGCAGGCTCTCTCATACGCTTCTGACAAGCTTTCTGAGCCTTCCCTGAAGACACCACAAACTTGAAAGGCCGGGGGCCTTCTGAGGAGCCCCGCCGCCTTCCGAGAAGGCCTCCTCCTCCTCCTCCTCACTTCCCCCCCGGGGCGCGCCGCCGAGTGGAGGGACAGGCAGCCTCGTACTCCGCCACCTACACCCGCAACGCTCTGAACAACGGGCGCGCACGCCCCCTCTGGCAGATCGGGTGGGCAAGGGATCGATTCGGACGGGGCTGGGACGCAGAGATTGCAATGGCCTCCGGCCAGTGCCGCCGATCCAGGGAGTTCGATTCGGTGATCTTCGCGGCTCTGTGGCCTCCTCCCTCCTCGATTCTTCCGGTCCTCCTTGTAGTTCACACGCTGGGAGCGATTCGGACGGGGTTGGGACGCAGAGCTTTCCGGAGCGCTCTCAGAGCGTTCCGGAACGCTTTGATCGGGATGACCCAACAGGGGGTCCAGCGACAAGGGGATGGTGCATTAGATGTGGTGCAATAGATTTGTGGGGTTGTAACACATGTGGGGCGTGCAACACATTCCAGGGCGCAAATGTACTGCTGGATTTCCGCGTGCAATACATCACTTGCAATACAATGCAGTACGATTCTCCGGCGCAATGCATTTGCAACACAATTGCCCGAAATTTGTTGCACCACCCCTTTTCAGCTGGACCCCCTTTTGGGTCACCCAGATTTGAGAAGGCCGCGCGCACGAGACATCCTCCAGAGCTATCGGATCTCAGAGATTCCCGACGCATCCCCACGCGGGATCATCATCGTCTCGGCCTCGTCTGATAGGGGAGCGACAGGGGAGCGATTGCGGGTGCCACAGAAGTTTGAAGGTGGATAATGAAGCGGGAAGCAGGATCGGCGCTTCAGTTAAACCCGCATAATAAGGATTAGCGGTTTCCCACCGTGAACCCTTGCATCCTTCCCTTTCGGACCATCTTTGGCCGCTCTCGCTGGCCGCACTTCGCTCGCAAAGTAACGACATGGCCTTCCAAGGCCCTTGCATCCCTATCGTGCGTCCTTATTGTACGTGCTGGCTATAGCAGATGAGGTTGGTAAAGGAGCGATTGCGGGGCGGGTGTCATGGAAGCTCGAAGGCGGCTGAAGCGGGGAGCAGGATCGGCGTTCATTCTTGCGAAGGCCAGACGGCCAGTGCCACCGACCCTGAAGGGGGACGACGACGACGGCGGCGGCTGCGACGACGACGACGCTGACGTGGGCCAGATGGATGCTTCTTGGGGTCTCTTGGGAGCAGGCTGAAGCGGGGAGGAGGATCGGCGAACATTTATGTTTCCCAACCATCCTGCGGTGTTGGGTCTCCGTTTTGCAGAGACAGCGCCCCGCGTCCGTTCTCTTTTTTCCTCTTCTCCTCTCCCCTTTCCATGCCTGCTTATGCCCTCCACACATGCCTGGTTCGGAGCACTCCTCGCACGTTTCCGTGGCCCCATTGGGAGCTCCACCGAGGGCCCCAGTAGCAGGGTCCACATGCAACTCCCCGCCCACCCCATGTTTATATCGGCGCATACGTTTCGTGGCCCCGTGGGGAGTTCCACCGAGGGCCCCAATGGCAGTGTCCACATGCGGCTCCCCACCCACCGCATGTCTATATCGGCGCACCCTTACACGGTGCGTTCCCCCATGGAGAGCTCCACCGAAGGCCCCAGTGGCAGGGTCCACATGCGGCCCTCCGCCCACCGCATGTCCATTTCGGCGCACCCATCGTACGCCCCGTGGCCCCATAGGAGCTCACCGAAGGCCCCTGTGGCAAGGTCCACATGCGGCTCCCCGCCCAACTCATATAAATTACGGCGCACCCTTCACACGTTTCTTGGCGCCCCAGCCACTCAGTGGACCGGGGAAAGACTTTTGTTAGAATACTGTTGCGGCCCCCAAAGTAGAATAGGAGACCCGAAGAATTTAGTTGACAACTCAGGTAAAGTGATTCGATACACCGAGAAGGAAGACATGAGGACGGATGAGGGATCAAAATAGCGTTGAACGATATAGCTACGTTCAAGGGAAAACATATCACACTATGGGGCTGCATGCTGTGCACAGGTGGCTCCCCCTGGCAATATGTGAACGAGGCGCATTATTTCCGTACTGGGAATCCTAAGGCTATGCGTAGGCTTCGGGGCATTAGAACCGATTTCCGATACTTGTTTTTGAATTTCCGTGAGGTTGCCCGCGCTGTGCACGAAGCGGGGGGCGTTGTATGTATTGAGTGGCATACCCAATATAATTATTGGAGAGATCCTCAGGTAACGAGTTTTCTTCGAGGGTTAGGCTTTGTCAAGACGACGTTACACGGGTGCGCATACGAATTCAAGGATAGTAAGGGTATTTTCATGAAAAAGCCCTGGGCGATAGCCACCACCTCTCCCATTGTTGCGGAGGGGTTAAAGCGTAGATGTGATGGCACACATGAGCATGTTGAGGCTAGAGGACGAGAGTGTAAGAGCGCTGAAGATTACACTGATTTTGCCAAGCAGGTTCATTTCGCCGTTGCCAATGCCGCAGAGAGAGTTGTGTCGTCTCGTCGTCGTCCTACTTCCTCTCCCAATCCTATCTGCGCCGCTGCCGTTTCGGCTCGACAGCCTGCGCGGGCTGCCCCGCGACCGGCCCCCCGTAGAGGCGAGCGGTTGCCTTGCGGCGACTGCTCGAATCTCGCTTGCCGCGGCTTCCGCGTGCCGGAGAGATCAACGACTGAACCCATGTGCCGACCGCTGAGGAAGAAGGCGGTTGTGCCACCGGGTGAAGACGTGATCTCGATCCATTCTGATGACACAGTGGATGAGTTTGATTCCGACGTTGTTGGAGACGAAAGCAAAGGGGAAGATAAATATAACAATGCTCTTCCCGCCACAATTCGAAAAGCCTCGACGCCGGCTCAGCCGAGCGGGAAGGCTTGCCCACCGGCTCAGCCGGATGAGACAAGAAACAGTCACTTTTTCCCAAATGACGTTGTATCCGAGATTGATACTGAAATGGAATCTGATGTCGAGACTATCAATCAGGGAACAAATGCTCAGAAAAGGGCAGCGAGACTGCCCCCAGGACAACCCTCGCTCAAAGAAAGCGGCTGACACCAATGCTGAAGACGTCGATTCATGGAGAAACAAAGCGATCTCCACGTGCCTCCCTGACAAACTAAGGGAATGGTCCCGACCAGGACCTACAGACGGGACTACTAAGTTTGTGTCGTCAAAAGGCTGGGGTTGGCGCTACACGATGTGGAAGAACGACATACTCTATGCGAGGAGTGACGCGGTCGTGTCCGCATTGAAGGCGGACCTGGAATCGACGTGTCAGACGATATTCCAGCGTTTATACTCCCAGGTCTCGCAATATCCATGGACTGTACATTGGATTATGTTTGAGCGGAAGGCCACTTGCCGTTTCGATTGCCCCTCCTGACGCTGACAAAATCCCCGCGGGAACGTTCCTTCAGACGTATCCTGATGAGAAGACGAAGCTGATCAGTAGGGCGTGCGCGAACCCCCCAGGGGGATATCGTGGCATAGTACGACCGCTCGAGCCGGGAGAAGTATTTGGTCCTACCGTCGGCCCGGCCGTTCGGTACGAGACCCCCCGGGGAAACTACGCGAGCGTACCGGTGGGGGATCACTGGAGAAAATGCTTCCCGCAGGTCTGGATTGACGTTTGGGCGCCTTCCCCCCGAAAGCCTCCCCAGGGCTCAGCCGCTGGGGAAGAACGCGGAACGATCTTCCAGTGGTCAAAGGAAAATACAGCGCACTGGTGCACGTGGTCGAGGAAGCCCTTACCGCCGCCGCAAAGGCGGCGTACTTCGAGGATGCACCCAAGCAGGCCGTGCATTGGAGGAAAAGACAACGCCCTTGGAAAAGGCCACAGAATTTCGAATAATGGCTTGCTGGAGACGGACGCGACCCAGGTGCTGATGAGGACTCACCGCAAAAGAAGCCGAGGACTGCAACGGAGGCGCCCGACGACCCGATCGCCGTGGAAATCCAACCAGCAGTCGCGGGCAATAATCGGCCATCATTGGATAACCCCGGGACCGGGAAACAGGCGGCCGGCGAACCACCTGCCGGCCAGCCTCCCTACATCGAAAACCCTCCTGGTTTAGCCAGTGGGGGTAGCAGTGGTGCACCGCCCCACGGCTCAGCCGGCGGGGATGGGGAGCAGCCGCCATCTGGCGGGTTTCCCTCAGGAAATGACCCACCCTCAGGGGGGGGCGGGGGAGGGGGGCCGCCGGGCTCGGGACCCGCAGCGACAGAGCCTGAGCCGGAAGACCGACCTTACCTCGGTCGCGGCCCCTGGAACGTTCTCGAGTATCTTCGGATGCAAGGGAGGTTCGGGCGCGATCCGAACCCCCCTCAACATGGATGGCGAGAGAAGGTGGAAGAAATCCTGGAACTCTATATGGAGGTCACGGATCCGAAGATGAAATGTTGGTCGAATGACATGATTTGTGTTAAGAAATGTCAGGCGATCACAAAGATCGCCGAAGTCAATGGACATTCGTGGATTCCGCTCACGGGAGAAGACCTTGCCGCTATGTCGTCCACGGGAAAACCTGTGACGGATTTCCTTCGCCCCCTTAATCAGATGCGGAATGGGTCACATCATAGTTGATCACGTTCTATTTATATTGTTTCTGATTCTACAATTGTGTTCAAAGAAGCATCAGGGGCGGCTAAGCCGAGCCTTATGCCTGAATGCAACCTGCGACAATCAGTGTTCGGGGGCGTACAGGCAGCTATGAGTGGAGCACAAATTAAAGGTATTGCCGGCGCATCCGCAAGCTTTCGGTGGGGGGGCAATGGGCTTATGAAGAAGGGACACGCACTTCAATTCGCTTCACTTTCTGGAAGTTCAACGACATAGTCGATAATTCGTGCAAATTAAATGGAGTCGGTAGCGGACCCAAAAGATATGAGAACCCGGTCGCTTTTGCAGGGAGCCTCAGACAGATGGTAAAGGACGCCGTGGATTTGATGGGTGATATAGTGCAACGGTCCCATGAGGGGACTATAGATAAAATGTATATCGGCGGGGACTCGAAGTGCGGACAAGAAGGCGATAACGGCGTCGGTCCGATGTGGGGCGATGCTGCCACCATGGTCCGAGCCAGAATGAATCGTCGGATTGAACACTGCAAAACAGTAGGACTGTTCCCCAGAATGATGTTC